GATCCATTACGACCCAACAACTAAGAGACTATTGTAAATTTCAGAGTGGATTCTGATACGGAAAAACAGTTCTAGAAGTTTTGATACGCGCCTTGCCCAGTTAATCCAGAAGAAAAGCAATTTATCTGGGTAAGAAACGGTTATAAACAATATTAAACTGTTCTCCGTCAAAAATAACACAATGTGTTTCCGATTCCGGAAGAATGCTTCAATGTAGGTCCGAAATTGCACCCTCTCAGTCCAGATTCACGTTTTACCCGCTCGGGTATCAAATCCGATATGGCTGTAGCCATAATTAAGTATCAACTTAAACAATATAATACAGTTCAGTAGATAAAGTAGAAGCTCCAATAAAGATACAAAAATAGAAACTGTAACAAAATACAAATATTAACATCAAAAAATGGTATTAAACAGAGTACCGAAATGTAGCACAGAAAGATTCAGTAGGAACATATTACAAATATGTACATGGAGGGATTTCCCCAAAACAAAGCCTTGAAAATGGATTCTACAACTATGTCTTTGGCTTGCTGACATTCATTCACAAACAGCTGTCGTCCGTCGCGCCAGCTATCGTATTGTAAATTAAGTAGTTTGGTGATATTTACGTGAACAGCGATGCGGTTAAGTTATATTAATGATCTGTTAACACTTTCTAAGGTTAGTGTAGATATTAGGTGGACCATAAAAAGTGTCTTGGAATTCGGTGAGGGTTCTGGAAATGGTTGATAAATCTCTTTAGGAGCTAACGACAGCGACACTAGTTTCTTGAACCTGTCGATCATGTCACATACAGGGATAGGAATTCGTAGTCTATTCCACAATAAACTATGCTGTGCTGCGAAGAGATTACAAAGTAATGACCTCGTGTGTTTTACTTTAGTTGTGTGCATGCTTTGTTTCTGAGTCGATAAGCCGGGTTGTGGTTCATAACTATGAGTGATTTTAGAGACGAGAGGCCATATATTATTTTGTAGAAAGGTATTAGGTTGGTTTTCAAATGACAGGGCTATAAATGTTCTAGGGAAAGATGTTTGCATCTTTATGTGTAGTCGAAAGTATGATTACATCACAGTAGCAGCAGTGTTAAGCTTCTTTGAACATTTTCTACTCCTATCATTGGATCTGCGCGCTTAGCTGGATTGTTCAGTTATTCAGTTACTGAAATATTTCACAAGATACATTGGCTTCATGTAGATGGATGAAATTTTCCATATAAATTATAGATAATTTTTCAGACCCTGCAATGCACATTACGAATAATTGGCTCGAGTTACAACGGTTGTGTTACTACGAACAGCCGATGACTGCGAAACAATGCAAGGTGAATTTTGATCTGCATATAGCAAGAATTGATGAGGTAAATGTGCTTAAATCTTGTATAAATTCGTTGGATAATAAATTTACAGCCTCCTGAATAAAGTAACGAAGTCTTCGGCAAATATTCAGACTAATATTTAAGGATTGGAATAGGGTGCTGAAAAAGACAAATAAAGAGAAAGGGGAGAGGAGCAGAACAGAAAATATTCTTGTTTAAAGCCAAACAGTGACTCAGCAGATACTGTTTTTAATTAGAACACTAACTGTACACTTGCACTAACGTAGGTTAATGAAGACAATTCACTAGTAAGATAACGAATATGCAATTAATCGTATGAATAGAGGAAATCCAGAAGAACCAAATTGTTGACATTTATGTTGAAGTACAGAATATAATAATGAGGCTCACTGATTTTATGCTTTATTTATTCTTTTTCTTTTTAACTCCGTAGCTCAAGAAGTCATGAGGGAGCTCTTTTTCAGTATAATTATCCAGATAAGTTTGTAATGGGACTTATTGGCAGGAAGTTAAGACCAGTGCAAGGTTACCAACATGAGTAGTAGACGCGGTTAACAAGGAAAAGTAACATCGATACCTCTGATTTGTTACGTACTGCTATATCGTAAGGAGCCTTAAGCAAACAAAATGTTCTGCCCTATAGACATGGGTTGACTGGGGTTATCGCCACACCGTCATGAATGCTGTCCACATACACCACCCTCACTACTTTTTTGATGTTAGGCTCTCTTCAGCCTAATCATAGATTTTGAACCATGTTTTTTCAGTCTACGCTCTATTTTTAATGCACTTTGTTGGAATACACTTTTTATGCCAGCTCCACGTTACAAGCAACCCAGACAACTTTGCCTTCTGAATGTAGGATAAAATATCCACGTAGCATATCACACTGATTTTAAGTAAACTATTGGTATAAATTGTAAGATATGTGTAAGTTAAGAGGTATTTTGGAGATAGGAAGGATAGGAAGCAGGAGAAAAAAGGAGTTGAAATAGTATTAAAAATAAGCGATTAAAGCGATAAATTGGTAAGCGTGCAAAGTGTTTGGATGTCAATTAATTTGGGAAGTAAAAATTAATTAAGCTTTTATTACTTAAACAAGATGTAATTCAGTTTGAGAGACTGTCAAGAAGAGTACGTGCCTGAAAACACGATAAGAGAAAGATATGAGGATTCGTGGTGGTCAAGAGAGTAGATTATCAGTCTTAAAAAGAGTTGAAATTGTCTTACAGAACAACACATATATAGGAGTCTTCTTTGGTAATAACAATATCTCAATTAATTTTCCCGCAACAGTCTGGAGATGAGTGCTAATAGTGGCCGAGTTTTACTTACTCATTGTTGTAAGGCTCGTCCAGTTACTGACTCTGGTGAATCTACTGCGATCATAACGAGTACTTTGTGTTGGTGTGTACCAATGTAGTTGACTTGGTAATACTCCTGAACTGGAAGATCTTTACTTTTCGTTATCGTTCAACTTTCTAATTTAGCTACGTTTTCAGACGGACTCTCATTTCGGTATGAATCATCCAAAACCTCACCAATCTGTTTAACAAGAGCATTAGCCTGCATGTGGTTGGTTATCTTTAATCCATAGTCGCTGCGATTACGCTTCTAGGAAATGGATAAGTTAGTGAGTCATCTGCCAGGTATGGTTCTCTTATTTAGTCGTCAGTAATCACTGACTGGACGCATATCATAAGAATCATTTTCATAGACAATATAAAAAGGTAGACAACTCCAAAATCTATCATTTGATAAAATCCATCCTTGACAGTTCTGGTTTTTCGGTGGCTAATCGTCGCCCTGCCGAAGAAACAGGTTCTCCAGTAGTGGTAAGTTGAGATGGAACATTATTGGCTACACACGAAAGTATGGGTATTTTGTACAGTTCCAAGTAATTGCCCAGTATCGTTGGAAGAGTGGATCAATTATGTGTTCAGTGGTGGACACTTATGACCAACAAATAGAGAACGAGTTTACATAAACAGATAAATCAGTATTGCCATCTACAAACCCTGACGGAATCCATACGGTTATGAATGATAATCAAACATCTACTACAGCGAAAATCCATAAAATAGGTTCGAATAAAGCCACGTTAAGGTAAATATATATTGTATGTGGAGGTAGGTTTCTAGTTTTTCATCTAGTAGAGTGAAAAGTGTATCCTGTGTACAACCGTTAGCGCTCGTATGAAGAACGATAAATTCTTCACCAGTATCGATAAGATTGAGAACCTTCGTCATCACGTCAGCGATGTATAACACAGCTGCAAATCGGCATCAATTACTATTAAAATGTGCCTATGAGAGAATCTCCTGAAATGTTAATAATGAGTTTCGGTTTTTATGCTTAGTAAACCTAAAGGTTTCCTGACACTTTTTGGGAGATGCGCCAAATGTGCCGTGGTACAAACATCGGGTCAGACTGTCTGTTTCTACACTGCGCGAAACATCATTTTCCGTATGGGTTTCTTAGGAGGGTCTTAGATCGTTTGCACTTCTGCTGGAAGTTAACAAGGTGAATGATAGTATTAAAGAGGTTCACAGTCTCATATCGTTTGTTAAGAGGAATTTGTCCAGTAAAACGATTCTCAAAGATGGGATTCCAGTGACTTCCAGAATCCAGTTAGCAAAGCCAGCTAGTTCGTCTATGATTCTCTTTTGAAGTGAGACAAGAACGGTTTACACTTACTATGAAAACAAAGATTGAAAGCAATATCTGAATAGACCTTCGTTGAATGTTCGCTGTTCAACGACCTTTCTCCTATATACAACAGGTCTATTGCAGTCATATGGCAACCCGATGATGAGGAGTAGCTGGTACAAATTCTGTCGAAAGCCTTGATCTCTACATATAGGAACTACTTTATTCTAATTCATTATTATTGTCATTGTATAGTTTGAAACCATCAATAGAATACATATTGGATGTGAGGAACATATTGGACTCACCCGGAACTGGCTTCACCACTGGGAAGAACAGTGCATATGGATCTGACACACTGTCAGCCTCTATGTAGCTGAACCAAGCTTCCACATTATCAGGCCGAAATGGCATCACTTGAAAGCTGAGGTGCGTGAGAATCTCGAACGCTGGAAGCCTTCGTGTATTTCCCAATATCATGAAGATAAAATTGATACAAATACACAAAATCTAAGAACCCAAAAATATGACGACTAGTAAAGATCAAAGATGGCTTCCGTCTAGCTTACCACCTTATGTTTCGACTATTGATCACAGGTCACTGTCAATGCTTTTGTTCATAACACATTTATGTTCGGGAATCATAAATCCAGTCAAACCAGCAGACATCAACAAGAGAGTTCGAAGACATTTTTGGAACAAGGTTGAGGTGTAGGAAAACATTTGAACTTAACCAGCTAGATATTGTGAGGGATTTATGTCATCGCTCACTCAATGGTGATCCGGTGCTGATGCGTGATAGAGTGCCTTCAGGTAAAGCGTGTCAGATTACCCAGTGAGGTCTGCATCAATTCCGAAAGCTTATACGACTGCTTACTTCGATGATTTATTCGCTGCAACATAAGTAGATGAGTTATGCTGCGTAAAGTTTGAAGGACATAGTTTCATCGAACTTTGAGAAAGCTCATCGTTCCAACAATACTACAATATGAAATGAAAACCTAAATTGCTCCGGTCCTTGACCCAAAAATAATGTCTTTGACACGTTTTTCACAACTCCTACTACCAACGTAACGAACTATACGATCTTTGAAGGATTAGTGAAAAAGGTCATTTTACTGAGTGGGCGTTTTGTTTTAATCATTCGATTCGGAAGTTCCAGAATTTGTTTATAAATAGAACAGCTGTTAACACCGCCCCCATTGTTGCGTTCGAATCTACTCGAAGGATGCAGATATTTGTGAAGACGTTGACAGGAAAGACGATCACGTTGGAGGTGGAGCCTAGTGATACCATTGAGAATGTGAAAGCGAAAATCCAAGATAAGGAAGGTATTCCTCCTGACCAACAACGTCTGATATTTGCCGGTAAGCAGTTGGAAGACGGTCGCACTTTGTCTGATTACAACATTCAGAAAGAGTCGACTCTTCATCTTGTTCTTCGTTTACGTGGTGGTATGCAGATATTTGTGAAGACGTTGACAGGAAAGACGATCACGTTGGAGGTGGAGCCTAGTGATACCATTGAGAATGTGAAAGCGAAAATCCAAGATAAGGAAGGTATTCCTCCTGACCAACAACGTCTGATATTTGCCGGTAAGCAGTTGGAAGATGGTCGCACTTTGTCTGATTACAACATTCAGAAAGAATCGACTCTTCATCTTGTTCTTCGTTTACGTGGTGGTATGCAGATATTTGTGAAGACGTTGACAGGAAAGACGATCACGTTGGAGGTGGAGCCTAGTGATACCATTGAGAATGTGAAAGCGAAAATCCAAGATAAGGAAGGTATTCCTCCTGACCAACAACGTCTGATATTTGCCGGTAAGCAGTTGGAAGACGGTCGCACTTTGTCTGATTACAACATTCAGAAAGAGTCGACTCTTCATCTTGTTCTTCGTTTACGTGGTGGTATGCAGATATTTGTGAAGACGTTGACAGGAAAAGACGATCACGTTGGAGGTGGAGCCTAGTGATACCATTGAGAATGTGAAAGCGAAAATCCAAGATAAGGAAGGTATTCCTCCTGACCAACAACGTCTGATATTTGCCGGTAAGCAGTTGGAAGATGGTCGCACTTTGTCTGATTACAACATTCAGAAAGAGTCGACTCTTCATCTTGTTCTTCGTTTACGTGGTGGTATGCAGATATTTGTGAAGACGTTGACAGGAAAGACGATCACGTTGGAGGTGGAGCCTAGTGATACCATTGAGAATGTGAAAGCGAAAATCCAAGATAAGGAAGGTATTCCTCCTGACCAACAACGTCTGATATTTGCCGGTAAGCAGTTGGAAGATGGTCGCACTTTGTCTGATTACAACATCCAGAAAGAATCGACTCTTCATCTTGTTCTTCGTTTACGTGGTGGTATGCAGATATTTGTGAAGACGTTGACAGGAAAGACGATCACGTTGGAGGTGGAGCCTAGTGATACCATTGAGAATGTGAAAGCGAAAATCCAAGATAAGGAAGGTATTCCTCCTGACCAACAACGTCTGATATTTGCCGGTAAGCAGTTGGAAGATGGTCGCACTTTGTCTGATTACAACATCCAGAAAGAATCGACTCTTCATCTTGTTCTGCGTTTACGTGGTGGTATGCAGATATTTGTGAAGACGTTGACAGGAAAGACGATCACGTTGGAGGTGGAGCCTAGTGATACCATTGAGAATGTGAAAGCGAAAATCCAAGATAAGGAAGGTATTCCTCCTGACCAACAACGTCTGATATTTGCCGGTAAGCAGTTAGAAGACGGTCGCACTTTGTCTGATTACAACATCCAGAAAGAATCGACTCTTCATCTTGTTCTTCGTTTACGTGGTGGTATGCAGATATTTGTGAAGACGTTGACAGGAAAGACGATCACGTTGGAGGTGGAGCCTAGTGATACCATTGAGAATGTGAAAGCGAAAATCCAAGATAAGGAGGGTATTCCTCCTGACCAACAACGTCTGATATTTGCCGGTAAGCAGTTAGAAGACGGTCGCACTTTGTCTGATTACAACATCCAGAAAGAGTCGACTCTTCATCTTGTTCTTCGTTTACGTGGTGGCCTGTAACTCTCTTTAATTTTTGATTTCAAAATAAATTTTTGTTTTATTTTAGCTTCTAAAATGTTCTCTGCAGCTATATTCGGAGTCGAGGTTTCTTGTTGTATGTGTTTGATATTTTTTGTATTAGTATAATTTGATTGTTAGATGAGTAACCCCTATTGGAGTATAAGGGCTGCCTAGTTTGTGGCAAATGACTAAGTTTTGAGCTGAAACAGGTTACTTTCGTGTCTTGGCGATGGAAAGCGGGATCTATTTAGGCTTTGAGCTTAGATTGCTTATGATAGATTTATGTTCCGCATGTTATCCGACAGCCTATAATTTTATGACTCTTGTCGAGTGACCTGTTCTTTGCGCATTTACTTCATTTGCAATCCAGACGTAGCTACGCTATTGTGCTATAGGTAAGCTAACGACGGTAGTAGTAACTAATGCGTGTTTATCACTAGGATGTCAAGGTGGACCTGGAAGACCAGATACAATTCTTTGGTAATGATTTATCTGTTACGACAGTAATCACGGAGTGGAGTTTGCAATACTACAGTCAGTTTTACGAACACCGGACATTGTGTCAAATAGGGCAACAGGCTTCCTTAGCTAGTACTTTAGGGTCTCAAGCCATAGATGTATGCCGCGTCTCGGAAACGCACATACAGGATCCAAGTCATTAGATTGATTGCCCCTTGCCAAAATAAAGAAGCAGCTCGATTTACTCTTCGTGCGTCTTGAAGTCCTGATGCTGCTTCACAGGGTCTCGCTGTCGTAGGTATAGCATTGTCCTAGGTCAGAACAAACTCTCCTAGACTGGATCCCAGTAGATAGTTGCTTGTGAGCTGTCCGACTGAACGGGACAGTAAAAACGCGCAAAAACAAGGACACTTACCGTTGCCTCTTCGTTCTCTCCGCATACGCTCCCACTGACTGCAGTTCAGACGAGGTGAAAGATGAGTTTTACAGAAAGCTTTCGGATTTCCTCCAAAAAGTTAGGCACTCTGATATAGTAAAGGTGGCTGGTGACTTTAATGATCAACTAAGTAGACTAAGTGAAAAGGAAAGACACCTGGGTGGATCTTATGGTGTCGCGGCTCAGAGAACAGATAATGGCGACCGTCTGTTGCAAATATGCTCAGGTAGCCGCCTATCCCTAGCAAACACTAACTTTAAGCATAACGAGAAACGGCTTTTGACCTGGCGACCCCGAAAGCCGACCCAACGATGGAGCCAACTAGATCACATCGCTATAAGCCATCGATGGAGAGGCTCTATCGAAGACTGCTGCTCATTCTGGATCAGTTGTTTAGACTCAGACCATGCTCTGGAGCGAGCGCGTATTTGTTTGCGACTTACCGGACGTAGGAAAGACACCGCAAAGGAACCTCTTAGGGTTCTACTTAATGATAGCAGAGCTATGGATATATTTCAGGAACAATTAGAAAAACAGTTAGGCGACCATGTAAGTGATCTCCATCCAGAGGCAAATTGGAATGATACTAAAAAAGCTGTTAGTGTCTGGCCAACGAATCCGAAGTATTTTGCGAAGACAAATGTTCATAAATACTTGTATCTTCTGAACGATAGCTTTCGTAGTTCTCCAAGTTTCCGCTCCATACAATAGAACTTTCTTGACATTTATATTGAAAATCCTGATTTTGGTGTTGATTGATATTTGTTTGGAGTTCCGGATATTTTTCGATTGTAAAAACGCAGCCCTTGTTTTGCCGATCCACGCCCCTCACATCTGCATCGAATCCACCTTGGTTGTCGATGATGCTGTCAAGATATGTAAAGTTATCAACGTCCTCCAAAGAATCGCAATCAAGCGTGATTTGGTTGACGCATGTTGTATTGTATCGTAGAATCTTACTTTTCCCTTTCTGTACGTTGAGACCTGCTGCTCCTAGGGCTGCTGCCACACTGGTCGTTTTCTCTTGCATTTGTTGTTGCGTGTGAGATAGAAGAGCCAGGTCATCTGCGAAGTCCAGATCGTCCAGCTGCGTCCTAGCTGTCCACTGAATACCATGTTTCCTTCCATATGTTGACGTCTTCATAATCCAGTCGACCACCAGGAGAAAGAGAAAGGGTGAGAGTAAGCAACCTTGCCTGACACCGGTCTTCACCTCAAATGAATCTGTCAGCTGACCTCTGTGTACGATTGTGCAGTTTAATCCACCGTAAGAATTCCGTATGATGTTGACTATCTTGTCAGGCACGTCGTAGTGTCGAAGAAGCCTCCATAGTGTTTTCCTCTCCACGCTATCGAATGCTTTCTCGTAGTCAATGAAGTGGATGTAGATTGGTGAGTTCCATTCAGTTGATTGTCCCACAATGATCTGTATTGTCGCGATTTGGTCGGTAAACGATTGATCCTTACGGAATCCAGTGTGCTGATCTTGAAGTTTGGCGTCTACGAAGTCCTTCATTCTGTTTAACAGCAACCTGTTGCAGACTTTGCATTGTATTGAGAGGACAGTGATGCCTCTGTATTGTAATGTCCTTCATACTTCTGTCGAAAGATTGTGTGTAGGAGTCCCTAGAAGTGCGGCTATCAGTCATTTAGAGATTTCCAACCTGTGTAATTTTGGACTACAATTGAACCACCAATAATTGGAGAGATCATCATGGCCATCAGACAAATCAAGAGCGGCAAAGCAGCAAGACCAGACAACATCCCACCTAAGCTCCGTTCTTAAAGGCCCTTAGTGGGCACCCTTACCCAAGGAGACGGAAATCCGTGAGTTAGGGGAGGTGTGACATTTTTAGGGCCGACCTTTTCTAACCCTTCCTTCCTTGTGAGAAGGCAGCATCGCTGCAGATGCTGGTTGTCCGAGGGAAACACCTTACTGCTGTCACACCCCTCTGCAGTCAGCAGTACGACTTCGCCCTCAGACCTTGGGTAGCTGCTTTTAGTCTCATCGTTCTCCAATCGACCTGCCTGGCATGGTAGAACCTTGAGGAACATATGTTCCAGCCAGTATAGCTCGGTTGGGTCATCACGATAGGCAAGCCCGACCACCACGTCAAGGTAGCAGCTACGGTCGGGACGAAGAACAAGTACCAACAGACTGGAAAGAAGGATACCTCAACAAAATATTAAAGGGCGATCTCAGCTATTATGAGAACTACAGAGGCATCACTGTCCTCTCAATACAATGCAAAGTCTGCAACAGGTTGCTGTTAAACAGAATGAAGGACTTCGTAGACGCCAAACTTCAAGATCAGCACACTGGATTCCGTAAGCATCAATCGTTTACCGACCAAATCGCGACAATACAGATCATTGTGGGACAATCAACTGAATGGAACTCACCAATCTACATCCACTTCATTGACTACGAGAAAGCATTTGATAGCGTGGATGGGATGACACTATGGATACTTCCTCTACACTATGGCGTGCCCAAGAGGATAATAAACATAACACTGAATTTTTATGATGGACTAATCTGAAAAATCATGCACGGAGGACAGGCCACAGACTCGTTCCAAATGAAGACTGGTGCCAGGCAAGGTTGTTTACTCTCACCCTTACTCTTTCTCCTGGTGGACGACTGCACTATGAAAGCGTCAGCATTTGTGGGAAGCACGGAATACCACTGGACAGCTGGCCGATCTGGACTTCACAGATAATCTTGCCCTTCTATCCCACACACAACAACAAATGAAGGAGTAGACAATTAATATGGCAGCAGCCTTTGCATCAACAGGCCTCAACATAAACAAGGGAAATAGCATGATCCTCCGTTACAACACAAAATGCACCAACCAAATCACACTCAACGGACAAGCTTTGGAAGATGTAGAAACTTTTACATATCTGGGCAGCATCATTGATAAACAAGGTGGATCTGATGCAGACGTGAATGCTTGGATCGGCAAAGCAACGGCAGCATGTCTACAACTGAAGAATATCTAGAGCCTATAACAAGTATCTACCAACACTAAAATCACAATTTGTAAGACAGTTCACTGTATCGGAGGGAAATTTGGTGAACCACGAAAGCCACCATCTACAAAGTACGAGTGTTTTTTTACAGTTGTCTGCGCAAGATATTGGGGATCCGTTGGCTAAATACCCTCAGCAACAACCTACTGTGGGATAGAACAGGAAGGCGCTTGATGGATAGGACACATTACGGAAATCACCCAACTGCATAACGAGGCGAGCTCTAACTTGAATTAACACAGTCAGTTAGCTACAACGTATAACTTCGTACATACGACATCAGCTCAAGTTGCCATACCACATTAGCACGGAATTGCGATTTTCAATTTCGATACCATAGTGGTAGATGTAGTAGAAGTATTAGCGGTTATGGAGAGTATTAGAGTTCGAAGAAGTTATTCAAGAAGTATAATCTAGTGAGGTAAATTTTAGAAGAGAAAGATGAAGGTCATGAGGAATTCAGAAGATTAGTATTTGAGAGAACAAAGAGTGGATACATCTGCGCCATCGCAAACGATTTGGAGCCATGTCATTCAAAGTCTCTAACATGAAATCCTCAAGGTTGAAGGAGAAGAGGTAGACCAAAAAACATCCTGAGCCTAGAACTGGAGGTAGACATGAATAGAACGAACACCCACTGGATAGAATTGGAAAGAAAGGACCAGGAAAGAGAATGTTGGTCGGCAACCTCAGCTGTTATAAATTAGTTTGTTTTCAGATCTTTAGTCTTTAACCTTTATTGTTATTATTATTATCTCCATTTGATCCGATGCATTGCTTTCAATAGGTCACGTGTTATAAAATATTTTCACTTAATTATCATTTTACAGTATTGACATGTAACTAAAAATGAATAACTGATAGTATAGAGCGTATCTGATTCCAATATTTATTGTTCCTGCTGTTAAATTCATGTATTATACTTGGATTCGACCTGTTGTTTTCAGAGTTGTTTGATCTAATCTATTTTTGACGTTTTATGTTATTAATGTTTATTGATGTGTACGTGTGTGTTTGCGTACATTCAGCAAACATGAAATTTTATTGATATCAAGGAAACATTCTATGAATTATCTTGAATCCTTTTAGCTTTCCGGTCACTGGCGTTTAAATGTGGTTAGTTTGTCAATCAGTATACTGTCAGGAGTTTCTTTAATCGTTGGACAAATGTGATCGAACTTGATGTCGATCATGGCTTATGAAGTCATTTAAAGTTCTTTGTTCACAGCATGATAATTTAGTAAGATAATATTTCTTCCCGAGAAATTTTCGTATTTGTATTTGACTTTATTAATGAGAAGCAGGCAATTAAATATCAGTTAATTATGTTAATTTACTACCGTTTACTAGTTATCTCTGAAGAATTGAAAAGTTCTCTTTTTTTCCACTGTTTTCAAATGCACTGTTTACAAATGACCAAATAAAATAGCCTTGCCTTAACATTGGACGACCAGTATTTTTCTTGTAGCATAAAGGAAATAGATGAATGAGTTTTTATTTTGAAAATGGTTTTCGTCACAACTTGGTGTTAGCTAGGATACATTGAAAACTGAAAATAATTGAGCAACTGTTTTATTTCCTTTTGCATTCGCCACTTATTATGAGATCGATCTGAGTCAGGAATCGATATTCCATGTCATTTTTGAAATAATACTAATCGTATACATCCTGTTCGGTAAGTTTCTGTCTTATATACGACTTAGTTAACTCTACAGGTCATAGCTTTTCACCAAATATTCGAGAAATACATTTTGAAACTAATTACTAAGGTGCATACAGTTATTGTCAGTAGGGTGTGATGGAACGTGAGATCATGTTTCAAATCGGTGTCTTATTTACTCCAGATACTATTCGTTTTAATTTAATATGATGCTCTTGCGACATTCATTTCGTATAACATTATTTTATGTTAATTTAGTGAGGTGTTCACTCAACATAACATACAGCATTCGTCTTGTGCTAATTCAGTGAAAAACTCATTTTTGTCATTCCACTGTTTGAGTTATGTAGAATATTCATTGACTGATTATAAAATACAAGTAAGTCTATACACAGATGAATGTATGTTAAAAGATTGGAACATTGTAGCTAATGAGAACTAGAGAAGACAACCAGATAGAATAAGCATTTTAGAGCTCAAACTAAGGAGGGTGTTTGTCATCATTCATTTTCTCGATAAATACGAAAAGCGTACATCCAACAATTAGCTTAGATATTCAAGTGTATATGAAATAACGATTCCATAACTTATATAGTTTGAAAATGATCAGAATCAGTTGTGAACCATCTGGATGCATCATCCAATAAGAACTAACTATTATAAAAAAAGCACACTCTGCTATAGTAATACAAAGAATTAATAAACCAATCAATTTTGCAAAAACATTCTGTCATGTAGGATACAATAGAGCTATAAGGCTTGTCCTAGCCTTTGAACAAATTTATTAACCCATTGTTCTCCTTCTAAATTTATCTTACTGAATCATACTTCTCGAATCATATCTTCGTACCCCAATCTTCTCCATTACTGCTAATACTTCTACTATTTCTATCACTCTTGGATTTGAGCTGGGAGTTGTGTCTCTGTGCTGATGGGGTATGGCAACCTGAACTGATGTACTTACGTACGAAGTTCTGCGTTGTATCTGTCTGTCTTCTGAAGTTATTCACATGTCTTTGGACCTAGTCTATAATTCGCTTATAACCTTGGTTGATTTTCTTTGAGCGTGTGTGAGCATTAATTACTTCGATTATCACATATTTAGCTTACTTTTGCCTGACCGTAAGTAGCTAGTCATGCCTCGTCTTATTGATTTGGCCCATCTGCTTTCTCCGTTTTAATTCGCTTTCCCGCTTTATATCTTCATGTCTGTCCGTGTGAACGGTTGCACGAATAAATCCATCCAACTGAATCTGCATTTTGCTTTTTATTATCGCCGTCACACAAACGGGGTTCGCCTAAGCAAGATATACGGAAATCAAATAAAAGATTTATTTCATAGCATAAAAAATATTCGTCCAAATCGGAGTCAGATTCTGGGCTACAAAAATGTAGGGATCAGTTGTATGGAGATATCTATTGTATCCAGTTAGTACGACCAATCTGTGCTCAGGTTATACGGCCACAGATGACCAGATCTTCGCATTACTTTATGCACTAGCTCTTTTGAATATAGCCTACTCAAAGATGTGGTCTTGTAACACAAGTTGGGTCGTCCATTTGGGCTACACCCATAGTAACTCCATTAAAGGAGAATTGGAAGACAACCAGAATTTACAGTGACTATCGCCTGCCGCTAAACACCCGGATATTGCAACAAATTTGTACCACTGTAGAAACTGACGCTATACTATGTAAATTACAAAGGTCAAAATAATTTTGCGTAATAGACCTAAAAGATACATATTTACAAATTCCTCTGAATGCGATCTCTAGTAAACTAAATACTATCAATACACCATTCGAGCTGATCAGACACAAATAAATGTTTCCCTAGAGATATTCCAGAGTGTTCTGTGGCAGTGTCTGTCATTAAAAGGAGTACCAGAGAAGTACATTAACCTTATACAGGCTCTCTACTCGAACATTACTGGTCGAGTGAGAGCTTATGGCGAACTGTCATCGGAAGTGGTTACTTCAAGTGGTGTACATCAGTGCTGTCCACATGCTTCTAGATAAAACATCTTCGTTGGGGTCCGCGAGAAGATAATAATCGATTGTTAGAGACCCTGAATGGCATGGATCAAAATCGTTTGCGATGGCGCAGCTGTATCCATTCTTTGTGTTCTCTCGAATCCTAAATTTTTTAATTCCTCATCACTATCTTTTTAAGTTTGTTTCACTAGATTCTACTTCTTGAATAATGTCTTATAATCCTGAACTCCTCGATTACTGTAATGCTTTGACTACCTCTACCACTATGGGATTTGAATTGACAATTACATGTCTGTGCTAATGTGGTATGGAAACAAGAACTGATGTACATACGCACGTACGCAGTTCTACGTTTCTATTGATTGACTGATTGTTATAAATCAGATTATTACATATCTCGATGGTGCTTAGTCTTATCAAATGATATTTTAGTTCATGACGATAATACTGAGTTGTTTTTTCGGGCAGAGTTTTTTTGGAGGTTTGTGTTTTTACACACTTGAAATCACCAATCAATCATTGTTAGACCACCATTAGAAACCTGGAAGCACTGGACGGCTGTTTCGTCCTGGTATGGGACTCATCAGCAGTGCGCCTCCACGACTCCTGCGCCTCGCAGGATTCAAACCCGGGACCTTCGGTATTGTGCGCGAACGCCTAACCATCGGACCACTGGGCCGGCATCCAATGGTGTTGCACATTGAACGTTTTTTAAATTTATTTAGACGATTTTGTGATACAAATATGGCTATAAATCCATCAAAATATCAGTTTTAACTTAACTGTATCACTGAAATCATAAATCAGTCATTGTTAGACCACCATTAGAAAACTAAATGAACTGGACGGCCGTTTCGTCCTAGTATGGGACCCCTTACCAGTGAGCATCCAGGACCTATCACGCGGGAATCGAAACCAAGACCTTCGAGTTTAATTCTAACAACTTTCTGGGCTATAAATCATACGCTAAGGGTTTTAAACTTAATCTGAGTCTCTCCACTGATTCAAGCACAGTCGCCTACGAATATCTCATAACTCAGATTACGGACTGTTTCCCTTCAGTTTTATTCCAGATTTATTCCTAACTGTAAGCAAATATTATCGCCACTTTTTGACTTGATTTCTAGTAGAGTTTGTATGAGAACGAAGACACGAGGAAACATAAATAAACATCTTACAACTCTTAAATACTGAGGCTTTCTTCAGACTGCTTTAAACAAATGAAAAATCTCTCGTACATATCCATCTCCACTGATGTTGGGTGCGGTTCTCGAGCAGAATAGAAAACCTGTTATTTTCATTTTGAAGCGATTAAGCAAAAGTGAACACGAACATTCTAGAATCCAAGAGGAGATTTCGGCTGTAGTGTGAGCAGTAAAAGCGCCGCACAAATTCTTATTTGATGTAAAATCCCATATTGCAACTGATCGCCTGGCAATAGAGTTTGTCTACCACGCAACTAAGTCATTTCATCTATCATCTACTGTCGTGGTCCAGCGATGGAATTTAGAATTTAGTGCTTAAGAGTTCACCATACCATATGCAGACTTTTTCATATTTCAGCGACTTTTCATATTTCGAAAGGCCATCTAACAAAAGTGATTTTGTATTAGTCCAACCATTACCCGTTGATATGGCAGAACTTGTAACGGATATTCGAAAGTATTTTGTTTTTATTGAGGTATCAAGAGGTTGGAATACTCAGTGCAAACGTGGGTTTATTGAAGTTTACAAAAGGAGAGGGGATATATCACTACATCCTGAAGACTTTTGTGTTTTGATGATAATCATCTTCTTACCACTTAGATCTGCAGTATAAGTCGACTTTCACTTTGCCTATCTGGTGTATAAATCTCTTCAAAACTCAATACGATTTCATTCGACATACTTCCGATTTGGGTTCTAGCTTGTGTCTTACGGAAGTTTTATAGACTCATTGGAATTAGTAGTGTTTTTTAGATTACTTAAAATTCACACTATCATAAATTCTGTCAATAAAGTCTTCCGCTTTTGTCCTGTGTTCATTCCACACTTAAACAAATCTCTATTACCCATAATTTTAAATTTTTATAATTCAAAAAATCAAATCACATTCTCTTAAACAGTTGTTATACCTTTTCATTCAAGGAACCATAGTTTCTAATACAAATAGATTGAGTATTTAGATAATAATATAAAGTGCTAATAACCATAATTGATCAATTTTAACTTTATAGCGAAAATTAGCTCTTGTGTTCAATAGTTTGTTTACACTGAATCGTTAAGGGTTTGAAATGAAATCACTTGATCCTGATGAGTCAAAGAACCTATGCTCAGGTACAAAAAGGCTACGAGTATGCTGTTCATCATTATCTGTTTTGGAAGCAGTAGAAGGATGATTTGAACTGATGGTAATGTAGGATTCCTGTGATAAGACAGGAATCGCGTTTAAAATCTTCACACCAACTCTACAAACGAATTTTCTAGAAACAGTGGTAGAGTTGTAGTGGAACTATTTTATGAATATACATAATTGCTGACATACAAATACTTATTACTGAACATGTATAACAATAACTGTTTTATTGTACACCTTTTGTTTATCTGGGCTAAAAGCCATTACTGAAGCGCCAACCTTCCCGATCCCGTGGCTGAATTG